GGAGGAGGAGGAGGAGGAGGAGGAGGATCAAGTAGTATTACATGTTACAAAGTGGTGACTTTTTCGTTTGTTACCCTACCTTGGGAGAGAGAGGGAGAGAGAGAGAGAGAGAGAGAGAGAGAGAGAGAGAGAGAGAGAGAGAGAGAGAAAGAGAGAGAGAGAGAGAGAGAGCGAGAGTGAGTGAGAGAGAGAGAGAGAAAGAGAGAGAGAGAGAGAGAGAGAGAGAGAGAGAGAGGAGGTCAGAAAGCATTACCAGGGGGAGGGTGGTGGGTGACAGGGAGGGTGTCGTCGAAAGCGTAAAGAGTAGTCTAGCCTACCGTAGGCCTACTTAATGTATCGAGATAAATCGAGATCAAGAAGAATCACGAAATGAAAGTATAATCTAGATCTGTGATATTTCGATAACCTATTGAATATTGAAAGTGGATTTTTCTTGCTGAGCATTATAGATTCTAAGATCTAGATCTAGGCTAGATCTATGTGAATCTAAGATCGAGATCAAGAATGATGAAAGTATTGAACGTGAATTTGTTCCTGCTGTGAATAGATCTAGAGTATAGAACTAGGCTGTAGGTGAATCTAGATCGAGATCAAGAGTCATGGAAGTATTCTTGAAAGCGGATTTTTCCTACTGTGAATAGATCTAGAAATCTAGGCCATCTGAGATGCCTGTCGGTTGTTAAGAATGTGAATTTCTAAACTTAGATCTATCTGTGGGCCAAGGCTCCTTCCTTCAATTATTGGCCTATGTCTTTATAATCCTTCGAGATCTTCGCTAAATCTAGAATCTAGATTAGGTTCTTCTAGGAAGCAACAATTGGCATGTAGGCCTAACTTTAAAAAAAAAAGTGATTGAGCTGGAACTTTAGAAGAAAATGCCACGTCTTCGAAGAGGGAGAAGAAGTATTACCCCTAGAGGTAGCCAAGAGGGGGTGTTAAATGGATAAATTCAAGGTAAAATATTCAATGTTTTGTTTCTTTCCTTTTTTCAGTCTTTTTCCTCTTCTCAACTTTCCAATTAATTCCTCATTATTATTCCGTTCGTAGAACGGGAACTTTAATTACTAGTAATAATAACGAGAACATGAAAATTCTATTTGCGTACATATATATTTTTATCTCACCCTTTTAATTATGAGCATTATGAAAAAGGGAGCAACTCAAATACCCCCCTCCCCAACCAAAGAAAAAAAAGAAGAAGAAAAAAATTATGTTTGCGAACATGACCAAACACACAAGTACACTTTACCTTTTTTCAGTGTGACTGACGTCATAGAAATCCCGAAATCAAGCTATAACAAATAAAATTATTTGCCACCAAATTTAGCCCAAATTTAGCTTTAACGTTGGACTTTTCCTATGGTACAAGCACAGCCGATGTATCGTAGCCTGAACGTTCCAGCGGACAAAATGCTCACACGACTTACGTCAAGACGGTGCCATTAGTTCAAAGATGCCGAAACCCCCCGCGAGAAACAAAGAAAACATGGCAATATTAGACCTTTATGTTATGCACGATCGTCTGTTTGCCGGGAGTCCGTAGCAATAATAATCGCCAGCCGCCTCGTAGCAGAAGACCGGGATCTCTCTTTACTCTTCGAAAAACAAATTCAATTACTCTGTTTGATTGAGGGTGGAAATAGTTTCCTCAAGTTTGTTTTGTTTTGTTTTATTATTTTTTTCGTTTCGTTTTAAGAATGCTGAGAAGTGTGATTAGGATGTGTGGTCATCGTGCGCCTCCCCTGCCATGCAAAATACACATTGATTATATCGGCAGAGAAAACAAAAGAGTTGTGTTCTTTCGTTGCGGATTGCTCCAACACGGAGCAAGTGTCATCCCAATCTTTTGATCTTCTTAGGGAGAAAATAGCACCATTGTTCGGAAGAACAATAGAATAATAAAATCCGAGTAAAGAAACGAGGCCGTATTCACATTTGATAAACAAATTGAGAAAGCGAAGCGCAGGGTGACAGTGTTCTGAATGTACATGTAATACCATACGTCACAGAAATTGTAGGTGTCAAAAATGTCTGAAAGAATCTTGGTAATTGATCGTTTACACAGCATTTTGACATGTGTATTAATTTCTAGTGCTTGTGAATGAGTGGAGAGGATGGGTGGGATGGGGGTGGATCCTGCAAGAGCGCCAATAACTCTTTGGTGTCATGCTCGTCGAGAGGTATTACAATTTTGATCGAACCTTAATCGCTGCTTTTGGGAGCTTAATTGTTCTCCATTCTCCTCACTTGTTCTGTCCCATCGGGGATGAGCACCATGCTTGTCGTCTAAGCTGAACATTAAAACCCTGCTGTGGTTACCTGAGTGTTTAATTCTTACCTTATTATACTGGTTCCCCTACAGAAAATCTGAGTTCGTGTCGCGTGTGTGGGAAATATTGTATTTAGCTCCTAACTCTTCCTGTCTACGTATTTGTTGTTGTTGTTGTTATTATTATTATTATTATTATTATGGTTTTCTTTTCATTATTTTTTTTCACACGTCCAATACCGTAAAACTGAGCCTCCCAATACACCTTGAATAGACTTATAGGGGGGGGGGGGTGACTGCTGTGACGTGGTCTGCTCTGTCTTATGGTCTTAAATGTTACCATTCTCTACCTTAGAATGACAAAGATCTAATTTGGCCGTTTTCAGAAACAAAATGTTTTATCTACTCTATCAAAATCGTAAGATTATTCGAAGTCGTTATCAAGATTTTCCACGAAGACACCATTCGAAAAAGCTTGTCATGTTGCGAAACTCAACAGTTTTAACGTCAAATTTCTCAAAACTAGATCTAGGTGCTGAGCAGATAGCACTTTGTAATTCCAAGGCAGCGTATAGTTGCCATCTTCGTAACCTTTGTATAATTTAGCGACCTGATGCCGTTTTTCAGCTGACTGACCAATAAATAATGTTACCTCCTTTTGATTCAACTTTGAATAATCCTTTAGTATCTTTTATTGTCTTTATTCTTTTTTCTATAGATTATGAAACGAAAGAACAGAACGTGAATTTTAATGTCTCCCACCCCCTCTCTTTTTGCCCTTTTTCTCAAACAAAAAGAAAGCAAAAAGGTTTTGTTTTTAGTTTAAAAAATTCAGATTCAGGTTCTGAATCGCAAAACAGCCTTTAGAGTTTCTTCTTGAGATTGTTGGTTAGATGTTTCTTAGTTATTCTATGCCTCTAAATTACTGACCACTGTCAGGCTCATAAGTGAACGTAGGATAATTTCCCCCAGTGGCTGTTGTTTAATAATAACTAATAATGTTAATATAATTTGAATCAAGTTCGTCCAATTCTAATGACGCTGGACACAAATGTAGTTTGACTGTGGTGACTGTGTGACCCAGATGTCGTTCTGATTAGGCTGGCCGAGGGTAGAGAGAGGCTAAGATATGAAAATATGTAAATCAAAACAAAATTTCCTCGAAACAGCGGCCTGTTATTCTGAACATGTTTCTGCGAAATTAGAGACTCGTTAGCAAATTTCTACGGTTTGTGTGTGTGTGTGTGTGTGTGTGTGTGTGTGTGTGTGTGTGTGTGTGTGTGAGAGAGAGAGAGAGAGAGAGAGAGAGAAGGATAGAGAGAGAGGGAGAAGAGAAGAGAAGAGGAGAGAGAGAGAGAGAGAGAGAGCGAGAGAGAGAGAGAGAGCGAGAGAGACACACACACACTCAGATAGAGAGACAGAGAGAGAAAGAGAGAGAGAGAGCGAGAGCGAGAGAAAATAAGAGAAAGTAGGGGGTAGATCTAGAAGAGGGGGTAATAGACAGACAGACAGGCGGAAAGATAGATAGATAGATAGATAGATAGATAGATAGATAGATAGATAGATAGATAGAGGTGGGATGGGGCGGTGTTATAGGGGATAAAAAGTAGGACCAGACGAGACAAACACACGATCTATACACTTATATTATTCTTCCATATAATTTCCTTCCTGTCACCCTTTTTTCCCTCTGTTCTTTTATATTTTCCCCCTTCTTTTTTTGGTCTCACCGCCCTCGTTTTCTTTGGCCCTCCCCAAACACAGACTCACTTCACACCTCTGGCGACCTCTGGTGGTATATTTCATGAAAGGCCTCCAATATCACCGATTGCCTCACTAGTGGTTGGAAGCCGCTTAAGGGTATGTACACACCACACACTTGAACTCTTTTCCATCATATAGAGAAGACACGACATCTTCCTCAGGGCCTGTTTTGTCTTTGCCGACCGTATCTTCACGGGTCTGTGCCTCGAATAATAAATGGCCGCAGCATCTCTTGCTTTGAGGGGTTGTACTGTGTTATTATAGAGCTTAAAGAACTCTGAACTCCTAAAAAGCTTATCGGAAAAGATTGAGAGATTTGAAATCGGGACTCTCAAAATTCGAACCCGGAAATCTACAGCCGAGCCACACAACTACCGTTTATTACGGATAAGCTGAATCCTCATTTTGAAAGAAAAAACATCGACTGCTTGTAAAACACTTGAGATCTACGTTCAAATAAACGCTCTTGGTATTTACTTTGTATTTTGCCTCATTGTCTTCCTTCTCCTTCCTGTTGTTTTTTCCTGCCCCACTGCACTTTGGGCCAAGCATTCTAGAACGCTGTTTAACATGCAAAGCGAAAAAGTAAATTGAGAAACTGCGGACACATACGGAAATAAAGGGAAAAGCTAAGCACCTAGCTCTCAGCGCAAGGATGTTTGGCGCTCTATCAATGTCGCTCGGAATTGAGGAACACTGAAAACGTCCGGGAGAGAACAAAGACGGTGCCTCAAAATTGGCTGATCACAGTTTGCTCTGCACTTTGCCGAAACAATTGGAGCTTTTGGAGAGGGAGACAGATATCTCAAGTGTCTGTACGTGTACGTGTGTTTGTTTGCGTGTGTGCCTCTGTGTGTGTGTGAGTGGGTGTGTGTGTATGAGTGTGTGCGTGTTTGTGTGTGTGTGTGTGTGTGTGCGTGTGTGCGTGTTTGTGTGTGTGTATGTGTGTTTGAGCGTATGTGCTTATGACTATGTGCGTGTGTACATGTATGTAGGTGTGTATGTGTGTGTGTGTGTGTGTGTGTGTGTGTGTGTGAGAGAGAGAGAAAGAGAGAGAGAGAGA